ATGGGAGAAATATATAATCAATAGTTTTATTTTAAATTCTACATTTATTTATTTATTTTGATTTTTCGAGACAGGATTTCTCTGTGGCTTTGGAGGCTGTCCTGGAACTAGCTCTTGTAGACCAGGCTGGCCTTAAACTCACAGAGATCCACCTGCCTCTGCCTCCCGAGTGCTGGGATTAAAGGTGTGCACCACGACTACCAGGGTTAAATTCTACATTTATTATTTTGTGCATGTGTATGAATGCATGCCATGGTGCATGCATGGAGGTCAGAGGAAAACTTTCGGGAGTCGGTTTTGTTCCACAGTATGGACTGTGGGGAACAAACCCAGTTCATAAGGTTTGGTGGCAAGCTTCTTCACTGTCTGAGCCATCTCCCCACCCCCCCACCCCCGCCCTTTTACTTTTGTTCATTTTTAAATCATGTGCTTCGAGGAAACAAAACACAAGAAGCAAAGAACAAAGTGATCTGGCCACCGACTGCTCGACTGGATGTTAACGTCTAGATGCCACACACATATTAATTGTTCCATTGAGTTAACAGACTGGGCTTCCCCACACAGTGACTGTTCATCAACTCCAAACCCCATGTTACAGGACTGTTTTGATGACCAAGAGTATACCAGGTCATTTCCAATAAGATAGTCATTTAATGTTATTGTCATCTCAGGAAATGTTGGCAAAAAGATTAAAAAAAAAAAAGCAGAATCCCTCAGGCCTAACACTGGCCCTGCTTCCTCCATGTCACAGGCCAGACACCCCAGGCCTCGGGGTAAGGGCTCCACAGACAGATATACTTTGTGTTTTCTCCCCACTAAGACAGGTGGCCCTCACCACTGTGAATGACGGTTCCCAGAAATGCTGCAGGGCTGCCCAAGATTGCCCAAGCCTAGCTAAGGGCCTCCTGACATTCCTTTCCAGTGTCACAACTATCCAACTCAAGCCCAAGGTCCCCCAGTGCTCACCCTGCCAGTAGAGTCCTCTCTGCCAGTCAGAGACGTGGGCAATGCCCTCAATGACCCCTTTTCTCTCACTCTGCACCTGGGCTGTCATCATCCGGTGACCCCCATCCCAGACACCTATCTCAGATTCATCTGCTTGCGTCAGTCAGGCAGGTTGACTACTGTCATGAACCCCAGATCTCAGGGCTTAACACAAGTCCAGTGAATGGAGCTGGCGGCTTCTATTCCTCAGGGTCAGCCAGTCACCCTGGGTCCTCCCAGCTCCATTCTGGGGCCTTCCAGGTACTGAAATAACCTTGGACACTACAGGGCAGGCTTTTAATGACCTGGTCAGGAGGTGCCTTTCATCACTTTTGCTCACATTCTATAGGTCAGACTAAATCACATGTCCCCACCCATCTGCAGAGGAGCCTGGGAAATGTAGTCCAGCTGATTGTCCAGAAGAAGGGGAGCAAGATTAACCGTGGCTTTGTCTTTCAGAAACACAGACCTACACCTGGCTTTTCCCTTCCGGTAGATAGCCTGGTCCTCTGTCAGATCTTCAGGGAGCAGCTGGAGAAACAATGTCCAAGACCAGACCCCATTATAGCATCCCTCCTTGGATTCCCTGGGGTCATCAGCTTGGTTGCAGGTCAGAGCCTTTTCCAGACTAACCCCGTGTGGGCTGGTAGCTGCCGACCTCCCTCTGATGCCATGCTCCACTCCTGAGAAGCTTCCCTATTTCCAGCTTAGTCGGAACCCAATTCAAGGTTCGATAGCACAACAGGAAAACCTTTTATTTTTGAAGTAATCTGGCCCTGGTGCAAAGAGTGCTGTGACTGTGACAGGATTGGGAGTTCTTAGAGACTCAAATTCAGGTCTTCAGCTTTTTGTTTTCATTTTGGAACAGGGTCTCCCTGCATAGCCCAGCCTACCTTTGAACTTGTAATGATCCTCCTGCCTCAGCTTCCTACATACTGGGATGCTAGGCAAGCCCAGGAACTGTCTTTGTGAATCTCAATGCCAGGATGAAAGCATGGGATACACCTGGGGCCAGCCAGGTGGCAGCAATGGGGACTCAGTGCCTTGTGTAACCACCTGGCTGGGGCCCAGGCAGCTGGCTGTAGAGGAAGAGCTTGCCCAGTGCTACCCACTGGTCCTCAGCTTAGCGGCCCCGGATCTGAAGCAGGGGGATCACAGCCAGCAGTCCAGCAGTCCATGTGAAGGCTGTGCAGGATGTGAAGTGGGAGGCCAGCTGGGCACAAACTCACCCTTTGCTCACCCTCACTCAACTTCTGAAGCAATCTCTGAGAGCTAGAAAGCGCTGCCTCTTGAGTACACAGCCCGCCATCGTGTGTATGGCCCAAGGGAAACTGAGGCTCAGTGGCAGAGGCACATGGCTCTTCCCCTGCGTCACGTCCTTATAGAGCAAGGGCAGAGCAGCCACCATCTTCATCTGGTCAGCAGTGTCTGCCTGCGGGACTCCACTATGACGGTCCTTCAGAGAAGGGGCTTGAGAGTCACTGGACTTCACTTGAGATTCCAGCGGCTGGCCACAGCCCTTTGTGAATGCTGCTGCCCTGACTGTGACTTCTGGGTCTCCAGAGGTGCTGGAGCGTGTGGGAGGTTATCCGAAGGGGACTCCATCTACATAGTTATGCGGAAGCTGTCATCCGCACTAGGTGGAGATTTTCCAGTGTGGCTTCTTTGAGGTTGTCCACATCTGTCGGTAACCCCTCACCCATGTTCTACAAGAAAGCCCAATAAATTATCAGTTTCCCCAGGGAGAATTTAGGTGGGATTGCTCTTTGGGTAAATTCTGGGGCCAGGTGAGGAGGGGCCACGCATTATTTACATCTCAGTTCTAACAACACATCCTCATGTCCCCTCTCTGTCCTTTACCAAGACCAGCACTGCCCATACTGGTACTCAAAAAGCGCCAGCCTTGAGGTAGGCACTGGCTGTGTGGCACTGGGCAGGCCGGTTCAGCTGCCCATATCCCCATTTACTCCTCTATGCTGTGGTGATGCAATCTCCTTGAAGCAGGAAGCTTTTGCACAGGCCCCAGCCTTCTGCTGGTAAATCAGCACCCTTGGGGACAAAATCAGCACACTGGGAAGTTTCAGGCAGCACCCTGGAGAGTCTGTCAGGTTACAGTCAGTCTGGAGCTGCGAGCACAGGCAGGGTGGGCACTGGAGAGTCATGGATGGTGCTGGAGCAGGGGAATGCGTGGCCAAAAGGGAGTGTCACAGGGTTGATTCTGGCTTTACCCTTTTTATCAGCATCTGGGGGAGGCTTTGGCTCCAGTTGAGACACAGGGAGGAGGCTGCCAACAGAAGGGGCCCCCAGTTAAGCCCTGGAACAAAAGCTTTGCCCCAGCCTTTGTGGGGCCAGATTCCTGCTGTCCAAACCACCCCACTTCCTGTTCCCGACCTGCTAGGAGCTGCTAGGAGCTGCAGGAGGCACCTTTATCCCTGGTTATTACCTAGGGGTAGGGTTCATTTACCCCAGCCTTGGACCAGCACAGGCTCATTGACCTGGCAGGTTTGGGCTTGGGTTTACTGAGGCAAGTAAAGTCCCCACAAGTCTCTTTGTTGCCTTAGGTATTCAAACCTGACACTGGCATTGTTTGTATTTCAAATTCAAATGAAGTTAAAGAGTAAGTCTGAAATTCACTTTCCTCCAATGCCCAAGAGCCCACATTAAAAGAGAGGTCTGTCTGTCCACACACATGGTGAGGAATTTTCCCTTGCTCAATATCTTATCCAATTCCAACCATTGTCCTTATGCAACTGGTGAGAATAATGCTTGTTCCCAGGGGAACCAGATGACCAGCTCAGGGCCACATAGGCCTTCTCACCTGAGTCCCAATGTTTTCTTTCTTTATTTTTCTTTTCTCATGCTGAGGATGAAGGCTATAGCCCTGGCCCATGCTAGGGAAGCGCCATACCCCTAATCCTAATCCAGTTTTTAAGGTGCTACATGCAATAATTTGTCAAAGCAAATAAAAACAAAAAAAACCCCACTTTTGTTGAGGTGGGACACAGATGTGGGGTCTATGGGGTTTTCCTAGGGTTAGCAGAATGAAAATAAATATTTGGGTCAATGAAATGGCACAGCAGGTAACCCACACAGGCACCCCAGAACCCACATAGAGGTGGAAGAAAGAACCGATTTCTTCAAGCTGTCCTCTGCCTTCCACCCATGTGCCCCATCACAAAATAATTTTAAGTTTTTATTTGTTTGTGTTTTAGGAATCAAATTTCTAAAACATAACCCCAGGTTGGTAATTGAGAAAAGCTATTTTTCTTAATCTGTCTGGCTTTAAATTTGCAGGCTTCCAATGTCTTAAAAGTTATTATTCTTTTAAGAGGATAATTGATCTTGGTTCTTAACTTTTTTGGAAGCTGTTTGGCAAAATACCTGGCATTTCTATACCTGGGCTATGAGGATTGCAGTTAGCCACTGGCCAGGATGGCAATTGGCACCTGCATCACATGGCTGCAGCCCTCTACCCCATCCCTGGGCACCTATTGGTGCTGTGTGGGGGTCTTTAGGGCATGAGGTGACTCAGGCCAATTACAAGGCAGGAGGATCACTACAAGTAAGAGACCAGTTTGAACTACAGAGTCTCAAAACAAAGACAAACAAAAAAGAAATAAGAAAAAGGACCCAGGGTCATCTTTTTCAAGCCATAAAGCTCAGTGTCCAGACCTAGAAAATCTCCCTGTGGGGTGAGCCCCAGAAACCTTCCATGGGCTCAAGGGACATTCAGGGTGGCCTAGGTGTGGTGAAAAGATTAGGAACACTACAGTACTATTCAGATGGACCAATAAGTAGGAGTTCATTCAAGAGCCAGGTGTGGAGCTGGAGAGACAGCCCAGGAGTAAAAGCCCTGTCTGCTCTTGCAAAGGAAACAGGTTCAATACTCAGGACTCCATCTTGGCTCAAAACCAACTGTAACTCTAGTTCTAGGGAATCCAATGCCTTCTCTGGCCTCCTTGGGCACTAGGTATGTGTGTGGTACACAGACATACATGCAGACGAAACAGTCATAATAATATAGAATGATCTAGTACTGTTCAACAACAAAACAGTGATGGGATGTCTTTTCCGTGGAGAAAAGTGAATGGTCACTCACCACAGTTTGTACATTCAGAGAAAGTTGCCTGAAAGACACAAAAGCAGAATAGGTGGTGAGTGGGGAGGGAGACTCCAGCAGAGAGGAGTCTGATGTCACTAGAATCCTTCTCCATCACCCCTAGTTTGGCTAACTGCACACAGGTTTTCCATTTAAAAAGTCAGTTGGGACTGGAGAGATGCCTCAGTGGTTAAGAGCACCGGTTGCTTTTCCAGAGGACCCAGGTCTGACTCCTATCACCCACATGGCCACTTACAACCATCTGTAACTGCATTTCCAGAGGATCTGATGCCCTCTTCTGGAGTCTTCAGACACTGCGCTCACATGGTACATATATATATGCGCAGGTCAAACATTCATATATATAAAGTAAAATCTTTAAAATTTTATTTATTTGTTTGTTTGTCGAGAGAGGGTTTTTCTGTGCTTTGGAGGTTGTCCTGGAACTAGCTCTTGTAGACGAGGCTGCTCTTGAACTCACAGAGATCCACTTGCCTCTGCCTCCCAAGTACTGGGATTAAAGGCAAGCACCACCACTGCCTGGCCTAAATTTTATTTTTATTTTTTTGTTTTTACATCCCAAGCAAAGTTTCTCTTCCCGCCCCTCTTCCCAATTCCTCCCCACACTTCCCCTCTACTCCCCCCATCCACTCCTCCACCATGGTTTCTCTTCAGATACAGGCTGGCCTACCATGCATATCAACCAGCCAAAGTATATCAAGTTGCAGTGAGATTAGGTACCCCCTCTTCTATAAATCTGGTTAATGTAATCCAGTAGGAGGAATGGATCCCCAAAGAGGCTTCAGAGTCAGAGACAGCCCCGCTCCCACTGTTAGGAGTCTCACAAGAAGGCCATGTTATGTAACTAACATTTATGCAGACTCCCTGGTTGTTGGTTCAGTATCTGTGAGTCCCTATGAGCCCAGGTTAGTTGGTTCTGTAGGTTTTCTTGTGGGGTCCTTGACCCCGATCCTTCTACCCCTCTTCCATAGTATTCTCCCAGCTCTGCCTAATGTTTGACTGAGTCTCTGCATCTGTTCCCATCAATTGCTGGGTGGAGCCTCTCTGATGATAGTTGGGCTAGGTGCTTATCTATGAGAACAGTAAAATATCATTAGGAATAATTTCATTGACTTTTTTCTTTTTGCCAGTCATGTTTGGTTCTATCCTAGATCTCTGTAGCATCCCACCTTTGGGTCCTGGCCCCGAGGGGTGAGCTCCCCCTCAGAGTATGGGTCTCCAGGTGGGCCAGTCATTAGTTGGTCACTCGCACAATTTCTGTGCCATCTTTACCCCAGCACATCTTTTATGCAGCACAAATTATAGGTTGAAGGATTTGTAGATGGGTTGGGGTTCCAATCCCTCCACTGGAAGACTTGCCTGGTTACAGGAGATGGCCAGTTCAGGCTCCATATCCCTCATTGCTAGGAGTCTTAGCTAAGGTCACCCTTACAGATTTCTGGGAGTTTCCATTGCTCTAGGTTTCTAGATCATCCCAGGGATATCCCCTACTCCAGTTGTCTCTCCCATTACTGTCTCCCTTCCTCTTCCCCCACCCGATCCTCCATCTTCCCATCCCCTTCCATACCTCCCTGTCCACTGGCAATGTCCATTCTATTTCTCCTTCACAATGAGATTCTCTTGATCCTTGCTTGAACCCTCCTTGTTATTTAGCTTTTCTGGATCTGTGGGTTGTAGCATGTTTCTCCTTTGCTTTGCAACTAATATCCACTTATGAGTACATACCATGCTTGTCTTCTGAGTCTGGGTTACCTGATCTTTTCTAGTTCCATCCATTTGCCAGCAAATTTCCTAATGTCATTGTTATTTTTTTTACAACCAAGTAATATTTCATTGTGTAAATGTACCAAAATTTCTTTATCCATTCTTCATTTGAGGAATATCTAGGTTGTTTATAGTTCCTGACTATTATGAATAAATCTGTTATGAGCATAGTTGTGCAAGTGGCCTTGTGGTATGGTGGAGCATCCTTTGGTTATGTGCCCAAGGGTGATATATGATATAGCTGGGTCTTGAGGTAGACAGATTCCTGATTTTTTTGAGAATCTGTTATATTGATTTCCAAAGTGCTGTCCAAGTTTGCACTCCCACCAGCAGTAGAGAAGTGTTCCCCTTGTTCTGTAATTGTTTGGGGGACATGTTTCAAGATAGGATTTCTCTGTGGCTTTGGAGGCTGTGCTGGAACTCACTCTGTAGACCAGGATGGCTTGGAACTCACAGAGATCTGCCTGCCTCTGCCTCCCAAGTCCTGGGATTAAAGACATGCACCACCACCACCCGGCTATAAAGTAAAATTTTTAAAAAGGAAAACAAAACAAAAAACAAAACACCAAACCCAAACCACTATTTATTAGAGAGATGTTTATGTTCTCACAGGAGTTTGAACAGGGATGTTCCCTGAAGCATTTTTCATTGTTCATAACAGTGTTCAACTGGGGAGTGAGCTCAGGTACTCATCACCCAATGAAAGATCACAGAGTGTGTGGTCTCTCTGGCATGTACTGGAACTTCTCCATCAGAGTGATTGCGCTAAGTGATTGGAAGTAGACACAGAGGCCCACATGGCTAGGAATGTCAGCTACAAGTCAGTCTGTAGTGATTGGTACCCAATGATGGGAGTAACCACCAGCCAATATTTAGTTTCTTTTTAAGAATAGAAATGTTCTAAAATTAGGCAGCTTTGTGTTGTGGGATAATCTTTTTGCACACAGTGAAGATATGTCTCTGCCAAAGCACCTTCTGATTGGTTTAATAAAGAGCTGAATGGCCAGTAGCTAGGCAGGAGAGGATAGGTGGGACTTCTGGAAGAGATAGGAACTCTGGGAAGAAGAGAGGGAGGATGGACCAGTGAGATGGGGAGCAAGTCAGACTTACAGTATGGAGGAGAGGTAACGAGCCACAAGGCAGATCATAGATGAATATAAATGGGTTAATTTAAGTTGTAAGAGCTAGTTGGGAACAAGCCTAAGCTAAGGCCAAGTTTTCATAATTAACAAGAAGTCTTCAGGAGCTGGTAATTCATAGAAAGACCTGCTCTTTTGATGATAGGCTGAATGCCATGAATATACTGAGTTTTGGAATTGTACACATTTTTTCTTTAGGCAGATTCATGGTGTATGACTCATTGTGATGGCTAGTCATATGTCAAATTGATACACAAACTAGAGTTATCTGAAAGGAGGAAACCTCAATGGAGAAGATACCTCCATAAGAACCAGCTGTAGAGCATTTTCTTAGTGATAGATGTGGGAGGGCCCAGCCCATTGGTGGTTCCATTCTGGGCTGATGGTCCTCTGTTCTATAAGAAAGCAGGTTGAGCAATCCAGGGGAAAGAAGCCAGTAAGCAGCCCTCCTCCATCAGCTCCCACATCCAGGTTCCTACCCTGTTTGGATTCTTGTCCTGACTTCCTTTGGTGATGAACAGCAGTATGGAAGTGTAAGCCCAAAAAATGCTTTCCTACCCACTTTACTTTTTGGTTATGATTTTTCATCTCAGCAATAGAAACCCTAAGATATGTATATCCCAGTAAATCGGGTCTTTTATTCTAAAAAGATTTATCTTTGTTTTATTTATTTGTGTCTCTGTGTAGGTATGTGCGTGAGTGTTCAGTTGACCTCAGAGGCCAGAAAGGGACATTGGGTCCCTTAGAACTGGAGTTATGGGCAGTTGTGAGCCACTGTGTGGGTACAGGGAACTGAACCCAGGTCCTCTGGATGAGCAGCCAGTGATCTTAACCTCTGAGTCATCTCTCCAAGCCAAAACAGTTACTTTAAAAAAGTTGTTACTACATGTATTGAGTTTGTGACTGTGGCAACAAAGTCCCAAAAGCCAGGTGGCTTAAAACAGCAAGCTGGGAAAGATTGTAAGAGCCAGAGAAACAGACTTTCCTTTGCAATTGTGTCTCCTAGAAATGGCAGAAGCTATATCCATAGACTATCACCAAGATGGTTGCTTAAGCATGAGCTAAATAAGGATGGCACCAATAGGCATGCTAACACGGACCAGGCAAAGCTCACCAGGCTTCAGCCCTAGACCAAGAACGATGGGCAACTAAGGAATGTTGAGTCATAGAAACAGCAGATCCCAATTGGTTATTCAATACCAAATGGCCAGCCCTGAAAACATATATACAAATAACATTATACAGACAGGTTGTATTTATGTATTAGGAGTACACACACATACGCATGCACACATTCACCAATAATTATAAAGAGGCTATCAATTTGAAAGAGACAAAGAAGGAGGTATAGGAAGGTTTAGAGGAAGGAAAGGGAAGGATGAAATGATGTAATTATAATCTCGGAAAAAAAACAATAACAAAACCAAACAGTCTCAGAGTGTTGGAGGCTGAGGAGCACTGCTAGGGTCATTAGGGTAGAGTCCTACTAATCCAGGGTAACCCCTTCCTTGCCTCCTGTTGCTTCTGATGGTGATTTTCTTTGAATCACCTTGGCCTATAGTGTGTCAATCGCTATCTCCAGGTAGTCTTCTCATAAGAACCATCCTCACGACAAGCTAGTGTCTATCCTGATGACCTCATCTGAACCTGAGAAAACTTACAAAAACTCCTTTTCCATGCAAGGTCATGTTCACAATAGAGGTGAGACCTCAGTGTATCTGCATGTGTCAGGTGTAGAGACACGGTCTCCTCTGTAGCTCAGGTTGATACAGAATTTGTGGCAATCCTCCTGCCTCAACCTCTAAAGTGATAGGATTACAGGTGTGAGCCACCATCTTAAGCCCTTCCATGCTAAACTTTCTAATAAAGGAACTTGCCTGCCTGGCAGGAGAGAGAAGCTCCATGCAGAGGGGGACTGGAAGAGAGAGTGGTCAGTGTGGAAAAGCCTGGAGTCACATAGCATGGCTTCCTGGAGAAGCACGAGAGAAATGGCCTTCTTGTGAGATGGCTACAGAGATGGGCTCTGCAGGGAGCACACCCTCATGGGAGGCATGCCAGGATGAAACTCCATGATTGTCTTGGTCTTAGGAGATGGAGAGAATGAGAACATGCAGACACTGGGGAGGAGAAGGAGGGAGAGCATGCCAGGGATTAGCAGCAGCAGAGGCCTGGGGGATAAGAAGCCAGGATTGCATGCATGCTTGGGAAGGTCTGAGGGAGTGAACATCGAGGGTCTGGGGAGAGTTTAGAGTTAGTAGTCCCCAGCAGACCAGAATGACCTGGGCCCCTTCTTAAACCGGGGTGAGGGTGGTACCCTGCAGCAGAGAGCTGCTTGCTTTGCTCCGAAGCCTTAAGGCTACTGTGCCAGGGAAGCCACTGCAGGTAAAGGCACAAGGCCTCCAAGCCCCAAGGAAGAAACAAGAGCAGAGTAGATGTTTGGCTGCCCAGAAGCACAAAGGCACCAGGAGTCCTGGGCAGGACCTGGCTCCCTGAAGCTTAATCCCTCAACAGGGGCCCACAGCCTGGATACAAGAGACCTTTCTTTGCTCCAGTTCTCAGCTTAGGTTAGAGACTGGGAGCCAAGGTGGCAGCAGGGAGGTGGGGGGAGTGGGGGGAGTCCTTTCAGTTGTTAAAACCTTCAGCAAATAGTTTTTCATTGTTTTTGGATCCTTTCCCACCGTGGTGTCAGCAAACCCTGTGCTGTATACGTGGTTCTCTTTGTTGCTTTTGGAAAGGGACATGCTGGAGAGGGGCAAGGACAAGCTGGGATTTTTAGTCACTTGATCCTCTGGAAAGCTGTCAATCACTTTCTTGTTAAAAAAAAATACAACAAAATACTAGGGGCTACAACTTGGTTCCATGGGTGAAGGTGCTTGCTACCAAGCCCTATGACCTGAGTTTGATCCTCAGGGACACACAGTGAAAGGAGAGAGCTGACTCCCACACTTGCCATCTGACCTCTCATGGGCACTGTGACACCTGTGTAACACACATATACACACCAATAGATAGTTGCAGTATATAATACATACATACATATATAATTGAAAGGATATGTACATAATATAAACAAGAGAATGGGGAGTGGGCATTTACAGCAAGATCAGTTGAGGCATGTGTGTGCTGGAAGGAGAATCTGATGTTTCGACCGTGCTGGCACAGGGGCTGCCCACACTGCTCCAGGCTACTGGCAGCCCCTCCCCTCTCCTCCATGGGCATGAAGCCCTTCCTCTGCCTCTCTCATGACTCCTCTCAGCTTCCTTGGCTGTTTGCTCTGCTCCCTAACATATGCATGTTGGGGTACCCTGCAGTTTGATGGTCTTTCCCTGTCTGCACGTGTGCCTTGGGGTCTCCCCCAAGATGTCCATCTGGACTCCACCCCAGGTTACAAGCCTGGCTCTCCATACCTCTTGGATGTGCCCTGTAATCATCTAATGGGCCTCTCAAACACTTTAAGTCTCCGGGGTGCCCCCTTCCCCTACCCAAGCCAGCCCTTCCTTCAACTGCTCAGATAAAAATCTTCAAGTCCCTTTTGATTCTGATTTTCCCTTCCAGGAGTAGGCCTAAACTGGGTGGGGGCATTCTAACATATTTTGTCTCTGTCTGGTCATGACTTTGAATTACCCTGGCCATTGACTTTTAGCTGCTGATGCCTCTTCTTCATCTCCCTCCTCCTCCCTTCCTCTCCCTCCTCCTCCCCTCCTTCTCTTCCTGCTGTTACTCCTCTTCCCTTCTTCCTCTTCCTTTTTCCTGTGTGTGTTTTATTCAGATTGTGATCTTAATTCTGACCATAGAGCAGATAAAAATCTCTCCAGATTTGGAATGCCCCAGTGATTTAATTTGCATGAAACTCCGGGACCTGGATTGCACACAGGATTTCAAGGACGGTATGTATGACAGTCAGGGCCACTGTGATTGAGGAGTGGTAAGGGATGTGCCGGCATTCTGTGACTTGAGTTTGGCCCCCAAGTTCTCATACCTTGGCATTGTGGTTCTCAGTGTGGTGATGTCTGAGATGGGGCCTTTGGGAAGCAGGGTCTGGGGGAACTGTGCTCAGAGGCAGTCAGGGTAGTGGAGAGGATCCTCACAAGGACAAGTCTATCTCCCAAGCCACTCTGTGGTTCCCCTTTTCCCCCACGTGTGGGTTTGCAGTTTCTCACATTTGCCCATCAGGCCCTTCCAGAGGCTACATCAGTGGGACACTCAGATCTTGAACTTTCAGCCTCCAAAACTGTGAACCCAGTGAACCTGCCTCTTTATAATGCTAGCTTGCTGAGCTGGCTCGTTTTTATGTGAACTTGACACACGCTAGGGTCATCTGAGTGGAGAGACTTCAATTGGGAAAATGTTCAATGAGGTCCTGCTGTAGGCAAGCCTGGAGGACATTTTCTTAATTAGTGATTGATGTGGGATGGCTCACCTCATTGTGGGTGGTGCCACCCCTGGGCTAGTGGTCTTGAGTTCTATAAGAAAGCAGGCTGAGCAAGCCACGAGGAGCAACCTAGTATGCAGCACGCCTCTGTGATCTCTGCATTAGCTCCTGCCTCCAGGTTCCCACCCTGCTTAAGTTTCTGCCCTGACTGCCTGCAATGATGAGCTGTGACATAGAAGTATAAGTCCAAGAAACCCTTTCCTCCCTAAGTTGCTTTTGGTCATGGTACTTCATCACAACAATAGAAACTCTAACTAAGACACCTACCTCAAGAGTCTTGTTACAGTAACTCAGAACAGGCCAATATATAAGGCCTTGTGGCAGTCCTTTGAGTCAGTGTTTTGGCTGCCATTTGCCTGGGATAGCATTAGGAACCAAACACACTGTTCATGAGGTTCTGTGAGAAGGGCAGAGCAGCCAGTGTGTGTTCCTAAGGAGGGAGAAGGCAGTGATCTCAGCCTTGGTTGTCAACAGCTCTGTAGGATGCCCACAGCTGTGCCCTAGAGCTAAGAAGCAGCCAAACCCAAGACCATGTCCCTGCCCTCCCTTTACCTTTCTCAAGGACGAGAACAACAGAGAGGAGTCCGGACACCAAAACAGTGGTTGTTTTTCCATCCTAGGACTTAGGCTGTTTTCCATGCCCAAACAGTGCCTAGAGTTACAGCGAACCCACAGTCAATGTGTGGCCACCACAGAGGAGAAACTGGCTCCTGCCTGACTGGGTCTCCAAGCAACACTACCACACAGGCTCTCAGGGCGTGGAGGTACTGCCAAGCCTCAGCTCCCACCTTTGACTTGGCGCCTGGTGTTTCCATGGGCACTCTGTGTCCCGTTCTCAGTACAGCTACTCTTCCAAACTGCCTTCCAAGTCCTGGGACACAGGAGGCAGGCCAAGGGAGAAGACAGGGGAAGAGGATTCATCAACCATCTGTAGAATCTGCAGACCAATAAGGAGCCCGTGCTAGTCTCCAGGCTTGGCTCCACGTCCTGCCTCTCTCGTTCGCTGCCTGGGCTTCAGTTTGCTTGAGTGTCCACTGATGGATTATATTACTCACCTTGCATGCTATGGAGAGGACTGACTCCAGGCTCACAGGGCTGGAACGTGCAGACCCGGGTTCAAGGGCTGGCTCTGCTCTTTATTGACTGTGAGGCCTTAGGTGGGTCCCACACACACCCTCTGTGATGTCTGTTCTGAGTCTTTTCAGAGGCAACGATACTCCCTTCTCACTCTGTCTTCCTGGCTCAGCAGCCTCTCTTGGCATGTTTGTCATGGCGAGAGGCCGTGAGACCTGATGGCACCGTCTCGTGTCCCTTTTGTGTGTACTTACTGAGAAGTGGCTAAGTTTCAGACACTGAGAGGGATCCGGAAATGGCCTCAGTGCCTTGGAGACCCCAAAGTGAAGCTGTGTGCCATCTACGTCTCTGGCTTCTCTCCATCCTCAGGCTGTGACTCAGGAAGCCAAAGGCCACACCCTGAAACTGAGATAGAAGAATTTTCTGATTCCTAAGTCTGGCATGCCTCCTTCCCCAGTTATGTTTTGATGGGATTTTGGTTAAGAGGATGGAGCAACCACGGAAGAGGAATGGCAAGGTGGCTCAGTGGGTAAAGGCACTTGCCAATAGCCTGGAAACTTCAGTCTGATCCCTGGAACCTATGGAAAGATAAATGGAGAGACTTCACATAGTTGTCCTTTGATTCAATGGCACAACCCTCCCCCCATCACTCACACACACACACACACACACACACACACACACACACACACACAGACACACACACACACACCACCATCATCATCCCCACCATCATCATCATCATCCCCACCACCACCATCATCATCATCCCCACCACCACCATCATCATCATCCCCACCACCACCATCATCATCATCCCCACCACCACCATCATCATCATCCCCACCACCATCATCATCATCCCCACCACCACCATCATCATCATCCCCACCACCACCACCATCATCATCATCCCCACCACCACCATCATCATCATCCCCCCCACCATCATCATCATCATCATCCCCACCACCACCACCATCATCATCCCCCCTCATCATCATCATCCCCACCATCATCATCATCATCCCCACCACCATCATCATCATCACCACCACCACCATCATCATCCCCACCACCATCATCGTTTTTAATTTAAAAGAAGCCAGGAGGATGGTGGTACTCGGTAGCTGAGGTGATAGGAAGGACCAGGTCAGCTTGGTGGCCAGCAATGAGGTCAGAGTGGCTGAAATCAACTCTTTCTTTTGGTGGGGGGCGGGTGGAGGAGACAGGGTCCTGGAGGTCTTAATCTGAAGCCACAGAAGTGTCACCTGAACATCCCACCAAATCCTGAGCTCTGAGCTGGGGACATGTTTACTGCTCTAGAGTGGGGGGACCCGAGAGAGTGGCGTCAATAAATGAAGTGGACTAAAGTCTCATGCAGTCGACAACTTTATTTTTTGGAGTAGCAGACAATTTTTTCCTCTGAGGATTAAAAACAATCACATGAATACGCTGTGCAGTCACAAGGGCAAGCCACACATGTCAAAACCATGGTTTTCCATAGATGCGTGCTAACAAATATCAAAGTCAGTTGTAATGACCAATCTGGATAAACTCACTCCTGTCCAATATACCTGGGAGGAGCATGAAAATACTTTCCAAGCACAGTTCTGTGTTCTGAAGAAACTGAGGTCACAAGGACAAGACTTTTTTTTTCTTGATAAGCATTCGGATTCTCCTCACACAGCTCTACTCCTGGATTGTGTTCAGACAGGGCAGTACCAAGGAGCTGGGTACTTTTGTGATGCCTGGCATATACCACCTTGATGAGTGAGTCTTGGTGGTGGGAGAGGTGTGGCTGCTGAGGTGCTCTGGGGCCTTGAGCTAGCCTGGGCTACCAGAGAATGTTTCTGGAAGATAGGGTCTCATCTGGATCTGAAAAAGCAGACTGGAGACAGCCAGGTGGGAAGGAGCAGGGAACAGTGTGGGGCAGGGCTCTGAGCAGCATGAAGAGACATGAGGGGGCAGGATGGGATCCAGACTGAAGGGGACTAGCTTGAGTCAGAGGAATGGTTTGTCTTGCTTCCTCAAATGGGAGCTGGAGGTGAGGAGAAAGAACAGGGTGCAGGGCGTGGGGGCGTTCTGAGGGGAGGGAATGAGAATGTCTCTGCTTTTGTTCCCACCTTCCCCCAACTCCTCACTCGCTCTGCCCCAGCCACACACTGCTCTTCTTGGCCAACAGTGGTCCTCTTAATCTCACCTCAGGACCTTCATACGAGCTATTCCTTTGGCTTAGATTACTTTCTGTGATCATTGGGCTTTGCTGTCATCTATATGTGCTACATACCACTCTCCCTAATGCTCCCTCCCCTCCACCTTCCATTACTCCCGGCCCTTTATCCTGATTTGCATATCCCCTGAGGATGTGCCACTTCCTGACACACACATCCGTGTGCCATCCGAGTGTGACTTGCGCAGAATCATCTGGTTTTGTGGCACCCTGAGTAGCAGCAGATGTGTGGTGGGAGCTTGGGAAAGTATGTTGCATGAAGGAATGTCTTAGTTACTACTCTATTGCTAAGACACCATGGCCAAGGCAACTAGCAAAAGAAAGTTTAAGGGGGCTCATGTTTCCAGAGGGTTAGAGTTTATCATGGCAGAGTGATGACATGGCAACCGATGGCTGGAACAGCACCTGAGAGTTCACATCTTGATTTGCAAGCAGGAGACAGAGAGCACCAAGTCTTTGGAAACCTCAAGCCTGCCCCTAACAGGACCACACCTCCTAACCCTCCCAAACAGTTCCAGCCGCTGGAGACCAAGTATTCAAACATATGAGCCTGTGGGGGCATTCTCACTCACACCAACACATTCCACTCCTGGCCCCTATAGGCCCCTGGTGACATCAGAATGCAAAATGCATTTAGTTCAATTTCAAAAGTCCCCCTAGTCTTTCTACCTCAACACTTTTTAAAAGCCCAAAGTTCTGAGACAATTTCTTAGCTGTAATCCCTATACAATGAAAAAGAAAAGAATATACATTACTATCCCACAATGGAGGGCTGGGGGACAAAGTGAGGAAATACTGGACCAAAGCAAGGTTGTAAGCCGGCAGAGCAAATGCCAAATCCTGCAGCTCCGTGTCTGATGTCAAAGGGTTAGATGGTTCCACCCTTTCAGTTTTGCTGACTGCAACATACTTTTCTCTTTTGGGCTGTTTCCACTCCCGGTCTGCAGCTCTCTCTGGCAGATGTCCCTTGGCTCTGGCATCTCTAACATCCTGGGGTCTCCATATAATCCTGGTTTCACTTTCATAGCTTCATGCAATGGCCTTTCGGGGCCTCCATGCGAGGACTCCCCTGCCAAATGTATGGCCTCAGTGGCTTCCTTTAATTGCAGAGGAAGAGTCCACAACCCTTCACTTGTATATCCTGCACGCCTCTGAAGCCAGGGCCATGTGGACGACACTGTCAAGTTCAATTGCCTGCTTGGCTCCCTTCAGTCACGCTTGCAGCAGCTTTCATTGGTTGCTGCTTTTCAAGAGCAGGAAATTCCTTAGACCTTTTGCTTTTCACAAATTGGAAGTTTAGCTGGATGGATTGTAGACCTGAGGCCACCCTCCCTTTACACCAGTGAAGATTCCATCTTTTAAAAAAGTGTTTGCTTGTTTAGTTGCTATTTTTCAGGACAGGGTTTCTCTGTGTAGCTTTGGCTGTCTTGGAACTTGCTCTGTAGACCAGGCTGGCCTTGAACTCACAGAGATCCTTCTGCCTCTGCCTCTGCCTCCCAAGTGCTGGGATTAAAGGTGTGAGCTACCACCGCCTGGTTCTTTAAACTTCTTATCTCTTTCAGCACAACCTTGGCTCCAATATTAAATTTTCTGACACTCTTTTCCCTCTTCAAGCTGTACTTTTTGTTTTGTTTTTCTTTTTGTCCCACTTGGTCTTTTTTATTGTAGACCAGCCAAGACTTATTACTAATAACCACTCTGCAGACAGATAAAGAAATTAGTCCATTACTTTTCAATTTAACTTCAGGCAAATTCTCAGGATGAGGGCAGAAAGTAGCCACATTCTCTGGCAAAATATCCCAAGAATGGTCTCTAGTCCTGTTGCTAATATTGCATCCCTCTGAAACCTCTTGAGCTGGGCCTCCATAACCCACACTGCTCTCAGCACCACTGTCTTCCATGCCCCTACTAGGATGGCCTGTTAGGACCCACTTAAAGTTGTTGACTGCCTTTCTAGTCCAAAGTCCCAAGCCTATAGGGGCCAAACTTATTCAAACCACAACAAGAAGTAGTTTATAATGTAGACAGGAAGCAACATGGGTAGTTACTGGTGACTATCCTGGGTGACTATCCTTTCCCCACATCTAGAAAAAGTCCCACTGGCACATAGATCAAGCAGGTCTTCAGCTTCTTCCAAGCTTGGAGTCTCTAGGCCTGAGTCCTCATCTTGATAGAGCTCCTGAACATTTTGTTCTTGGCCTCTGGTGTGGGGAGGATTTGGGAGGGGCTGTGGTTTTCTGGAGGTGGGTATAATGCAGAGATGGAGTTATGGGGCCCAGACTGGATCCCATGGAGTGTCTGTGTGCTCAGGCACCAACATTGTGGCCTACTCCTAGGATTGCTTCAGTAAACAATCATCCTTGGGAAGACCGATGAGATGGGGAAGATGCTGACGGGTGGCAGTCATGACAGCTGATGCTAGCAGGTGCCATTCACGGACTACTTAGGAAATGCTGGGTGGGTTCTGACTCTAAGCTTGTGATGTGTTCTCTCACTAAGTCTCTCCCAGGTGTGACTACTTGCTTCTGAGGCTTGAACCCAACTCCTCCTGCGTGCTAAGCAAGTGCTGTAGCACTGAGTTATACACAGCCAGTGTGCTCGAGAATTTGAGAGCTGGAGGCCACCTTTTATCCTTCTCAGATGAAGAAACTGG